CCCCGAGCCAGCCTGGTGCGTGGGTGCCAGTGGGTGCTGCTCCTTCTCCCCGCTGACAGCGGGCGCTTTTTCCCCGCGCCGTAGCTGTGTGCCCCTCGGACCTCCAGCAGCTCTGGAAGGAGGTCACGGCTGCCCAGCCCGTCGAGGACAGCATTAAGCAAGAAGGTCTCGACCTCACCACCAACACCTCCAACTCTACCTCGTTTTCGGCCGCCAAGGTCTCGCCTCCCATTTCCCATCACCCTCTGCCCAATGGACAGAACACCATGCACACGCCGAGAAGGGACAGGTAGAGCTGGGTCGGGCCTTGGCACTTTGTGGTTTTACCCCCGGAGACATGGAAGGGGCCAGGATCCATCGCCCTCGGGGCTGGCAGCAGGGTTGGGAGCGTTGGGGGGTTTCTACCCAGCCCGTAACCACATCCTCTTGCTGTTTTAGCTCCCGTGTGCCCACGGAGGACAGGGAGCTGTCGCTGTGGGGTCTCCCGTGGGTCCCCGAGGGCTGGCCCCATGCACGGGAGCGCTGGAGCATCACGGCTGCCCCATCTGACAGTTCTTTTCCCTCTTCTGCAGCTCTTCCCATGAAGAGACCCCCGGCTCCCACCCGCTCTATGGCCACGGAGAGTGCAAGTGGCCCGGCTGCGAAACCCTCTGTGAGGACTTGGGACAGTTTGTCAAGTAAGTGCTCCCCTTTTTGGGGGGAGATTTTCCTGGAGGAGGAGGCGAGAGCCCATGCTCTCAGGGTGGGACAGCATGGGGCTGGCGGAGGGGAAGACACCTGGAAATAGGTCCAGACAGCCCAAAGTCTGTCTGCCCAGAGCTAGGGGGCCATGCGAAGGAGAAGGCACACCAAGGGTTGCTGCTAGAGGAGAAGAGACCCGGGGCAGTGGGCAGGAGCGGGCAGCAGGCGAGGGGAGTTTGCCGCTCCCCTCCTGGGGAGCGAGAGGAGGGGGGGAAGCAGATGGCGGGTCCGCAAGCCGCATCGGCACTGACTGATTAACTCCGCTGTTGAAGAGCCCTCTGCTAGCGTCAGGGTCAAACAAATTGTTTTCACGCTTCGTCAGAGGTTTACTTAATTAGTTCATTTGCAATTAGATCTCTTTGTAGCCTGGATTTTTAGCAAAGACATCAGAAGGAACTGACGGGCTTGCTTGCTCCTTCCCCCCCGCCTCTCCGGCTGTCTGCTCGGTGCGGCGGGCGGGGGCGTGCGCTTCGCTCTCTGTCGGCGAGATTTTGGGTTTTTAGAAACCAGGCCCTTCCACTGCCACGCATGCGGGGCTGGCTCCAGCAGGAGCATCCCTCGGACTGCACCGGCCTCCTCGTTCCCAGGGAAGGAGCTGGGCTGAGCGTTGCAGAGGAGGATGAGGAGGTGCGAAGGCAGCCTGGGGAGGCTGAGGGAGCATTGCCCAGTGCCGACTGAGTGAATGACTCGGGCTCCTGCGTCCTCCTTCCTCTGCCTCACGGGGTGAACCTAGATAAGGCATCTCCTCCCACCTCTCCGGGCGTGTTTACACGGCATGGGGCAGATGCGCAAGCCCCGGTTTGGAAGCCGGAGCCAGGATTGGCAGGGCATGGCTGGGGCTGGGTCGCGGTGCCGGGAGGGCCTTGCTGTGCCAGCCGGGGCTGTAGGGTCCCTGCACCCTGCGTCCCCCCTGCCTGCCCCCCTAAGCACCCCCAGTGCTTGCAGGAGGGAGCTTCCCCAGGGGCAGCCTCCCCGAGAGCACTAGGGAGGTGTTTCTGTCCCCTCTCTGCCAACGCGAGCGGGTGTCGGGGTGTGGGACAGCCAGACGGAAAACTTGCAGTTCCCAAAGGCTGAACCCAACTGAAGTGTGGACCTGGCTTTGAGTCCGGGCACCGGCTTTGAGCTGCCTCTGAGCATCACTGCCATGGAGTAGCTCGGAAAGCCTCAGCTTTGGGTGGAAGGGGGCAGCGTGTCCTTTGAGCAGTGGTTTCTAAAAGGCTGTGAGGGTTGGTGGGAGATGTCTCTGTTCCCACTCAGCACAGCCTAGGCTCTCGATAACTTTTTCCCTGGAGAAACAGCCGTGCCCTCAGCCTGCTGTGTGGGGAGAGGAGCAGGCGGCTCGGTCCAGCTGCAGCCCTGCGGAGTGGGGCAGAGACACCGGTGGGGTTTGCTCACATACGGGCTTGGCAGCTGGTGCCGGTTACCTAACTTGTTTTTGCAAGTTGGGGCTGGAAGTCTCTCACAAACAGCCAGGTGAGACTCCTGACGTCTTCCGCATCCGGACCGAGGGTAGATACTCCTGAGGCACCTTCTGGTGGGATGTCTCAGCAGAAATCCCCCACACCCTGGCGAGGACACGGCCCGGCCTTGCGATGTCTTTGGGGCTGGGTGCTTCCCCAGGCAGCCGCTTTGCTGAGTCTGGGGGCAAGGACCCACCAAGGCTCTGCAGCATGTGGCGTCTCCGTCGCTGGCTGCTTGCCTCTGCCGGAGAAGGAGGGAGGATGGAGAGGATCAAAGGTCCTTGGGCTTTGTAAACATAAAGGGCCTTATAAACATAAGGCAGGAAAGCGGTAGGATGAGGAGCACCCTGGAAATGTCACCTTCTGCCTTCGGGGGTTTCCTTAGAGGGTGTAAGTAAATCTCCATAACACCGCCTTTGTCCTGGAAACCTGCTCCTCAGGTCCTCCTGGGCCGCTCCTGCCAGCAGCCTTCGCAAGGACTTTCCATCAACCAGCAGCTGCTCCTAAGCGCCGCGGGGCTGCCACTGGCAGGGCTGGTTGTCTATGGCCGCCCTCCAGCCCGGATTCGGGGAGGAGGCACAGCCCAGTTTGCTTGGCCGCCTTTGTGCCTCAGTTTCCCTTCTGCTCGTCACTCTTTGGGCAGCAGTGCCGGAGCGTTCCCCAGCACAGACAGTGCCTCATGAGCATCCCGGGGTGTTGCTGCTCTACAGGCGGTTTGCAGGTCAGGGCTGATCCCAGGTGTGGCTGGGGCGGAGGGGCCGCATTTTGGGCACGTCCAGGCATAAACCGCTGTGTTCAACTCCCCAGACACCTCAATACAGAACATGCACTTGATGACCGAAGCACGGCCCAGTGTCGAGTCCAGATGCAAGTGGTACAGCAGCTGGAAATACAGGTGGGTACCTCCCCAGCCTCCAAGGACACGGGTTTAAAAAGCTGTCGCCTTTCCAGCTCTGCGTGCCGTGTCTTGGCTGCTCTCTGCCCGCGGGGGTTAGCGAGGTCGGGGACTGTAGGGAGATAACCGGTCACCCCCGGGGCTCATTTTACACATCCTTCCCAAATAGGGGTGCTGGCCCTGGGCTGCAAACTGGTGGAGATCAAGACCCAGGGGGCCCTCAAACTGATTCCCCCTCTGATACCAACATCCCTGCGTGATTGTGATGGGGCTGGAGGAAGGGACAAGCCATCCCTCCTGCCCAAAGTGTCCCTGTGGAGATGCCACAGACCTGGAAGGGACGTGCTGCCTGGGGGGGTGCGTGCCCACAGGCGGGACTTGAGCTGTGCCCCAGCCGAGAGCCGTGGGGCTGCTGGGCTCATTGGAAATCAGGCCACGTGTTTTGGTGGCTGCACGTGGTCTTTGGAGCCCAACTTCGGGGTGCTATTTTTGGAAAATCAGTGCTTTAAATAGCTCCTTTCCGAGTGTCGCTGACTCCCTGACATGTCGTGCATAATTTGGTTGATAGAGAAGGAAGGGGGGAAAATGGGGGGAAACAGAGGGGTTTCATCTTGGGACATGAAAGCATTTGAGGAGGAAAGCGGGACGGGGACGGGGTCTCTGTCAGAGGGTTGCTCACCAAGAGCCGCCTGGCATGATGATGTGTGGACGCCTGGCTGTTCAGCCAGGGGCTGGCAGGAGC